CCCCACCGCCCCGCATGATAACAATGAACCCTAAGAAGCCACCTTACACATTACTTCACTAGGTTTTGCTGCAATAGACCCCCTGCATGGAGATGTACCCAAAATATCCTTCCAAATTGGAGGGCGGGGGGGGGGGAGGTGGAAAGTAGGAAGAGCTGGTCGAATATCAAACTGATTAATACCGCACTCGATTATCTTCAAGCAGATTGGTGAGAATTCTTAGCAGACATACCACAAGGTCACAAAGAGCCTAAGCTTTACCTCTAACCGTAAAACACGAAACCCATGTACATGTATAATTGATCTAACATCGGTACGATCTGCAATGACCAATCAACGCGAACATTTAATCCACTAAATTCTCGGTGATTTTGTTGTTTTAATGCTTTGAGTCGAATTTCGATCAATTTATTTGTGAATTCGAAAAAGAACGTACGGAAAGACCAAAGTTCCATTAGACCCCCTTCCAAGTAAGGCCCTGGTGTTGAAATTCACAGCTTGAGGAGAACCCTTGGCACTGGGAGGGGAGCCAGCCCAACCATTTTCATCCGCGTTGTCAAAGTCCGAATCGAGGCCAAATGGGCCAGCCAGTGGCTAAAAAACACATGCCAAACGTTAAAATACCATATTTTTGTTTGGAATCGCTAAGCAACTTCTATTGTCAATAAAGTAATTCGCATTTTGGATAAATTTAAAATTGAGCATTTAGAAATATATATGACAACACAGCAAGGACAAAATCGATCAAAATGCCAAGATGGTTTGTGGTTTGGCAAGTTGGCTTCAAGGAAATTCGGAATCATGCTTCTTCTTCTTCAGGCACAGCAACCAATAAGGACTTGGAGTGCTCAATTTTCGGCTAATGAGTCCTTTGAAAGGACAAGAGTGATAGAAACATCGCACATCAAAGTGTGATTTGTAACATTGTAATTAAAATAAAAGTGAGTTGTTTCAAAGAACCTTATAAAAAAATGCATCAAAATGAAATCACATTCTTCTTCTTCTTCTTGTTCGTCTTCTAAGCAGAAACATCTTCCAAGAAAATAGGAATCGCTAAGAAATTGTGGAAAACAGACTCACAAGAAGACTAATTGCATTAAAAGTGAAAAAAACTCTACATCACAACGGCGAATCAGCGAACATGTAATTATGATGAAATTCATATCTGCCTTTATGTTGGCTTGCCTGGGACGCGCGATAGACTTACCTCCACGTGGTGCACCCTGAGCAACGCATACTCATACGACAAGAAAGTCTATAAACCGACAATTGACTTCTGACTTCAAACTACCATTACCCCACTGTATGACATATTCCACCACTTCCACAATATTCACTTTACCTTTTCTCTACCCTTGTGTCTGTCTGTCTCTTTTACATCAGTTAATCACTCTTCTGTTTCCCTCCCCCACCCCCTCCTCGACTTTTTGTGCCTTTGATGTTCCTCCCCTCTGTGAAGCTCGATGTCAGCTAACTATCGTAAATATAAATCTAAGTAAATAAATATTCTGAGCCTTGGACCTACTTCCAAAGGCGTATTCCTCCTCATATTAGAGTTGACGTATGAGGGTGAATTAGTCGAGAGTTAAGGGTAATAAGCAGCGTAGAATTCTTCTCCAATCAGACCCCCTGCCAACACTTCAATTCAAGTGTGCCAAGTTGTGTAGGTGATTGGCCTATCTTAGAGCAAGACACTAAAGTGTGGGCTACTCAAAAACAAATACTGGATCTTTGTGCGCGGTGCCCCAATGAATACAACATCCATAATAATGTACATCCTAAATTTATCAAATCTATCAATAGACAGTCAGCAGCAGGTTGGAGGCAAATTAGACACCCAATAACTAGAAGGTATTCTTACCCTCCTGCGAACAATGTAATAGTAGGTGCTTATGGACGTGAGTACACTGACAAGGATAGTTCCAATGGTAATAGAAGTCCATGAGGGTCCTACTTGTTTATAGACCATAGGTCCTGCTGTTGTTGTCAAAAGTTGGATTTCTGTCCTAAACGCAAAGGAAAGAAGGAGAACTGTGATAAGGCGTTAATAATAATGTTTGTAAGGTAATAAAAATAGCAAATATAATACTAATTAAACAAGCGGGATCGCAATAATAGGGCGATTTGGTCATGAAATTAGGGATTTTTTTATTCCACAAAGCGCTGTTGATGTCTCAGAAGATGGTTCGACCAAAGAGAAGAATTCATTGGCCTATTTCTCCTTTTATAGCTGAGGCATCGAAAGAAGCTTTAGGGCAAACTTGTCATAGCAACCGAAAGGTGAAATCGACTTCATCCAAGATCTCTCAAATGAATTCTCGTCTTCTCTGGCTCTTCACATGTCATAACTAGTTGAGAGAGTATTGCTTCCAAAATATTGTTGTCAGAAATACCTTTTTTATTATTCGCCCCCGGTATAAGGACCAAGATATTCAATGTTTGTTGGCCACATTAACACGTTTTCATTCAAGGATAGGCAAGGGATTACAAGGATATTAACCACCAGGACACCTAATTACATATATTCGTTGCACTCGAGCCGAAATCACTGGATTATCGATATGATTGATTCCCTCGCTCAAACCTGAATATGCAAAGTCACCTGGAGAAGAAGCCATCGGTACAGCTATTGGCTAACCAGGCAGCCAATCATTAACCGAGCTCACTCAGATTTATTAGCTTGAGTCTGATTGGGTTTAGCTTTAGGGAAAGGGGAATCGAGCGTTATATAATTACGACATTTTTTATATTCTCTTAACCAGATAGAGCAAGCAGAACTCACTGGTCTGTACCTTCCGTTGATTCGGTTGTTCTTAGGGAATTAAAAGAAAATAGGGCGTTTTTAACAAAACAAAATGATAAAACCAATCACTCAATTGGATTCCAAATAGCCTCGAAGCACCAGCTAAAGACTAGATGCTGTATTTCAAGATTTCGTCTTTGGGTCCAACATATTTTTTCCAATGAAACACCACTGTTGGTGGTCTGAAGTTATCTTTTAGCTCAACCGGATTTCTTGCTCACAATTTTAACTTTTTCTACGTTGAGATACTTTCTAATTACTCCACATTGTAAGAAAATCATTAAGATTTCCCCACTCTGAAAGTCAATCTTACACCAAGGTACTCAGGGAGCTTAATTTTCAACTAGATGGATTGCGGAACTCCACCGAGCATCCATATTAACGTACATTTTCGTTTCGCTTAACCAGATAGAGCAAGCAGAACTCACTGATCTGTACTTTCCGTTGATTCGGTTGTTCTTAGAGAATTAAAAGAAAATAGGGCGTTTTCAACAAAACAAAATGATAAAACTAATCACTCAATTGGTTTCCAAATAGCCTCGAAGCACCAGCTAAAGACTAGATGCTGTATTTCAAGATTTCGCCTTTGGGTCCAACATCTTTTTTCCAATGAAACACCACTTTTGGTGGTCTGAAGTTATCTTTTTGCTCAACCGGATTTTTATCTGTTGAGATACTTTCTAATTACTCCACATTGTAAGAAAATCATTAAGATTTCCCCACTCTGAAAATCAATCTTACACCAAGGTACTCAAGGAGCTTAATTTTCAACAAGATGGATTGCGGAACTCCACCGAGCATCCATATTAACGTACATTTTCGTCTTCCTAATGGGTGAATAATGACTTTCCACCAGTTGTCCAACAGATAAGCAAAAGATGGGAAATAGTCAACTCTACCTAGTAAGTCTACCTTGTAAAATTAGTAAATACTTGCCAGCCCGCAAGGGAACCGAACACGTGAGGTCAATGTTGTTATTTATCAACTCAGGACATACAATCGACTTCATACAACTCGCCCTCCGTTTTCTCATAGTGTCCCCACATTATAGCTTGGCTTGATGTTCCTTATTAAAGCCCCCATTTAGATCAATCCTTCTAGAGAACTACCCTCATTGAGAACTTTCTCTTTCCAAAATGTGGGGGGGGGGGGTTTCGAGTGGAGGTAGATCATTAGCGTACCTATTCATGTGACGATAAGACGGCATAGTGTACTCCCAGGTATCAAAATGCGGACTTGACCAATTTGCATTGACCTTAGGTGAGCTAGGGGAAGCGTGGTAGAGACCAATGAGACTCCTGGGATAGGAGACCTTCCTGTACCCATGTTCGGCTGGGAGGGTGCAGTGGGTCAACTTGCAGAGCTTTCGATCCATGCACTCCAATTGCAAACGACCGGAGGTTCGGGATACTGGACGAATTGGAAGGGAGGCTTCAGCCAGAGTGTGAATTATGTAGAGAGGCAGGTAGGGACCCTCTCCCAAGTACAGCGTCGGTCTACAAACAAATAGAAACAGGGAAATCGCGGAGTTTTAGAAAAATACTGCGTTTTTTTTGGTTGTTGTTTGTTTTCAAAGTGTATCAATGCAAAAATGGATCAAGAAAAGTTTAACAAAGAGCTATAAACGGGAGATTTCGACAGGTAGTTCATGCTAGGATTCAGAACAGGTGTTTATAGCTTAACGGAGTACCCAATTTTATAAGAAAAGCCCTCATATTAATCGAGGTCTTAAAGCGTCTTTTCAACTCAGCAATGCCATACAAGACAAGCATAATTTTCAAACCCCTCAACTCCGGTGATATCCATTACTAATCATCAGTCCCCAATTAGTGAAAAATGTTTGCTGAAAATGTTGGTACAGAAATCAGGAAGACAGGGGGAAGAAGCCTGCCCAGTAACTAACTAATCTTGAACAAGACATGTGGAATAGCACTTTAGCGTTTAACCATTTCAGGTGATGACAAAGATTTCCCAATCTCCGGAAACATCAGCCTAACAAAAGGAAACGAATCACTAGGAAGCACAAAAAAGAGAACTAGGTTCATTAGAAATCTTCGTAGACAGCAGAAGGTGATGTAAATAAGAGAAGCTTGATCGACCTTCAACGTTGAAAAAAAGAAGTGATACGACGTTCCTGAAACTTGGATAAAGGCGGGTTCTCCTGGTTCCCTGATTCACTTCTACTGCATAGATAGCAGACTTCTTAAAAGTATTGGGTTGGCAACTAAGTCATTGCCGTTTTTGTTGACAGATTCACTCTATACTTTCTTTTGTTTTGTTAAAGTGGCCAGAGCATCTAACCTATATTTTTTTTTACTGTATGGGCTTCTAGGTTAATTAGTAAAAAATTTTTTGTTTAGTTCTTTAGTTTTGTTTTTATCCCAATTTAAAAATGAAAGAACAGGACGTGCACTTCCGACACATTTTATTGTATTACTTCCGAAAAGGCAAGAACGCATCGCAAGCACAAAAGAAATTATGTGCCGTATATGGAGATGAAGCCTTAAAAGAAAGGCAGTGTCGAAATTGGTTTGAAAGATTTCGTTCCGGTGATTTTTCACTCAAAAATTCACAACGATCTGGCCGCCCAGTCGAAGTGGATGAAACCCATATCAAGGCCATTATCGATTCAAATCGTCACAGCACAACACGAGATATTGCAGAGAAGCTCAATGTGTCGCATACATGCATTGAAAAAAAAAACTAAAAACCCTTGGTTATGTCAAGAAACTTGATTTATGGATCCCTCACCAGTTAAAGGAAATTCATTTGACGCAACGGATTAGCATCTGTGATTCCCCGCTACTGAAACGCAATGAGAATGAGAATGATCCATTTCTGAAGAATCTAGTTACTGGCGACGAAAAGTGGATAGTTTATAACAATGTTACTCGCAAGAGATCATGGGTGAAGCAAGATCAACCAGCCCAAACAGTATCAAAAGCAGAGATTCACCAAAAAAAGATTATGCTGTCAGTCTGGTGGGATCACAAAGGAATTTTGTATTTTGAACTCATGCCGCAGAACCAAACGATAAATTCAAATNCGGAAGGGTGTTGTTTTCCATCATGATAACGCAAGGCCCCACACATCTTTGGTTACTCGGCAAAAATTATTGGAACTGGGTTGGGATGTTTTGTCACACCCACCATATAGCCCTCACCTTGCGCCTTCGGATTACCATTTGTTTCGTTCCATGCAAAACTCTTTAAATGGTAAAATTTTTAACAACGCGGATGATGTCAGATCACACCTAATTCAGTTTTTTAATAGCAAAGACCAGACATTTTACGAACGGGGAATTTTTACTCTGCCAGAACGATGAAAAAAGGTCATCGACAAGAACGGCCAATATCTAATTGAATAAAGTTATATTTTTAAACACAAATTCCGAATTTGCCTTCTTATTTGAAATCGGCAATGAATTAGTTGCCAACCTAATACCACCATCTCTTCCAACCTTTGTGTGTGTGTGTATGTGTGTGTGTGTATGTGTGTGTGTATGTGTGTGTGTATGTGTGTGTGTGTGTGTGTGTGTGTGTGCGTGTGCGTGTGCGTGTGTGTGTGTGTGTGTGTGTGTGGTGTGAATAGCTCAACACTAAGGGCAAACCGATTGCGGAGTTAGAAAAGTTCGGAACACCACATTTGCCACCACAGGAGTAGCAGAATAATGTGCCATTCATGTTTAACAGGCCAAAGAGTGTACGGGAAGACCCGTCAAAAGGATGCAATGATCGAACTTAGCTATTTAAATCCAATCATGCACTTCAATGCGCCACCACTAATTCATTCCACCCAGGATATTTTAGTTCCCCACCGATTGACAACCATTAACTAACAACTCGAAAATGAAAACTATCATTTTTAGTAATAAGCATAAAATAGAGAATAGAGAATTGGTGACAAGCACTCATTTAATGATAATAACCAAAACTCAAAAAGTATTCGGAAAATATGAACTTTCAAAAACGGGGAGTGAAGTTATTAAGGTCTTAACTCAAGCAGATACCCCAACGATACCAAAACAGGTTTGAGCTTGTTGGGAATCGCCTCAATTCAATTATTGACCAACATTAGGCTAAATAAATAAATACAAGAGTTGTTCTGAAAAACTAAGTTATAATAAGTACTTCCCGTCAGCTAACACCCTCAACTACAAAACCAGAGGTTACGGACTCAATGCCCATCAAGGTAACGCCCAATGAACGGAATGGTTAATTGCATCGATTAGAAAATGACAAAATTGGAGTTTCTCACCACAAACTCCTTGATTTCCTTCTTCTATTCAGGATAGAAGCTAAAAAATGTTTCTTCCACACAACTTCTAGGTTAACTCAAGCCAAGCCCATCCTTAAGTATTTCTTAGGAAGATTTCCAAACCCAAGACATAAAAGAAGAATAAAAGACTGACATCACGATTCCTGACAACTTAGATTGAAAACATTAGGCCAAAACGTGCAAGGACTTACTTAAATTCTTTTCCAATACTGAGTGTATCCTCCCAGAGTTCAGCCTGACGGGGATTGGGCTTAATATGCGCTTCGCTGAGGGAGAGGGCATAGGAGGTAAAAGGAACACGACGAAGGCTATAAGAAACCGAGTTACGATCCGATGGGTTAGATCCATCTCTGCCCTCCTCCTTCTCCTCCTCCGGTCCCTCTCCCTTCTGTTCTTTTGAAGCTTTAATTGAGAATATATCTACAATCGGTGCCTCCAAGGGCAAATGCCAGAGAACTATAAACGGGGGGGGGTGACAATTAATCGAATCGTATAAGCAATCATGAGGAGAAGGAAGAACGTACATTTATCACCATGAAACGTAACGACAGAAGGCTCCAAGGTGGCCACATGTTTTAAATCTTAAATTTCAAGGGGAAGAAGGTTAGCTTTGAATTGAAACACATGAGAAACATAAAAGAAGTACAACGTACTGCTAGTGCCTGGATCAGGTTCAATATGATCAGGGAAGCGTTGGAATGTAATATTCATTCTAATAATAATATTAATAAATCACTGATATTTTAATGAATATTTACTGTGGGTCCGATTCACCAAAGCGCGATAGTATGAACTGATATTTGATGACTCCCAAATCTATGAAACGTGATTTGGGATCGACATCAAGGAGATTTCCTATAATTTTTCCAGTGTCAAAATCCAACTGAATCCATTGATCCGTTTTATAGCCTAAATTGTAGAAGCGGTAAGCAAATAACCGAGCACATACCCATCGTTTTATGCTTGTTAAGAATTTCTGGCGATCGCCTAAAGAGCCCATCAAAAGTGCTATTTACAAGATAAAGTATTTCGCTCGGATCGCTTCCAGTATATTCATACATGTGACCTCTGTGGATTTCTGGAATCAATATCACACTAAGAATTTCAAGAAATATAAAGAAGGCATTAGACCTACTTGCCAGAGTATGTACAATCATTCGACAGCTGCGAGTTGTGAGTCCATCGAATAGTGCCGTTATATTTGTCCACAAGAGTAAATTTGCTGTCAAGTGTGTAAATAAGCAAGGATTCCTCGGCCGACTATAAAATATTATTAATCATATTGAAACCCACCGGAAAGGACTGATTTTTAGCAAAAATTAATGATATAAGTAATGAAATGATGAATAAGCGCATTTTAGAGCAGCAATCGAATTAATATTAATTCCATGTGGCAAGTAATCACAGCTGATACAGATCAATTTAATTGGCTAATTCGAATTTTTATTTTCTTTCTTAGATGTATAAAGAAATTAATGATTAACCATTTACAAACATAATTATTAAGCTAGTTAAAAAATTATTTAAAAAATTGCAATTTTCATTAAAATTAGTTCAAGGCAGTCTATTTTTCATAAAAATTTATACACTCTTTATATATATATATATATATATATATATATTCTTTACAATCTTTGTTAATAAAGTCGTTTTAAGGTTGATTATTCGAACGAGGTTTAGATTAATTGAATGAGGTTGAAAAGATCGTCGAGTTTAAGATCGCCATTTTCATGAAATGAAACCTATTAAATTACACAGGGGCAGACAAATTCACTGACTGCAATGGATGGGAAGGCAAAAAGATGCTTTATCAATCACTAAAAAACGTAATATATATTTCCCGTTCTCTATATATCGCTGCAACATTCAAATAAATTTTTGTAAAATAGGGCATGAAGTGGAACAACTATGAATGATCAATTCAATAATGCCATTTCCTCATTGACATACGGTCGGTGCATAAATAGAACTAAAATCAAATAAACATTTATCTACTTATTTGAAATGGCTGGCTTTTAGATAGACATCATTAGCAATTCAGTTGAATTTAATTTCATTAATTCCGAATGTATCTCGTTCCAAAATTTGGGATTCGATTAGTTTTTTATTTAAAACAGGTGAAATTACTAAAAATTCTAAGTGCCTGTTTCAAACTTAAAATAGAATCCAATCGCCAACCACGTTTTAATGAATGTAATTTTAAATGAAAGCAAACCCAGATTGAAGAAACGGCCTCATTAATTATCAATTACTTAACTTTCTAAATTAGCGACAAAATTTAGGAAATTGTTTTATTTGGTTTTGTTCAGTCGCTGGTTATATGTGAATTTAAACAACACGACTAATTTATCCATTTCAACAAATATTCAATCACAGTTAAATGAAAGAAGTTGAAGGTTTTCATTTTGTTGCATTCGTTTCATTTTTATAATTTCATTTGCGGCTTTTTACAGAATGAACTTGTCCAAGAATTTAATGGAAATAAGTTATTTCGCCTGAAATTGCGGCAGCTAGTGTTAATTACTTTTTCATTACGTCTGTTTTGAGGTATAAATATGTATTTCAGTGGCAATGAAGCAATATTGTTATTATTCATGGCAAATAAACCGGCAGTTGTCATCTGACTATGAACTAACATGACCCACTGCAAGCCATATTCCATAGTAATCAATTTACGATTTCTCTAACTTTGTGTCTATCTCTTCCTCCTCTCGCTTTTATTTTCCTCCCCTCTGTAAGGCCCGAAGTCAGCTAAAGGGCTAATAATAACTATCAAAACGCCAACCATTTGAAATACTTAAATCAATCTGACAAAGAACTATAAAATATTTTGAATGGAGATCTAGGAATGTTTGAATATTCCATATTTTTAAATTCATGGAAGACCATTATATATTGTTTGGCAATATGCGACTCGGACTCAGAGAGGGATCTGAGAGGATGGGGTTACATGGAAACATTTTTTAGCAAAACTATGTAGAATTCGGTTTTGCCTTTTTTGGTATTTAAAGTTCATATTTCTAACGCAAAATTAAAAATTTATGCTCGAAGGGTAACTTATAGAAAAACAGCATTTTATGAATTAAAAATTAGCTCTTCAATCTTGATTTTTTGTCTTCTCTTCATCTTCAATGAAAACGTAGTATGTGTGACCAAGAAATCATAAATTAATAATGTAAAACAGCAAATTCCGGAATGAACGGTGTTTCATGCAGGTTCACAAAAGATTTGTTAGGCAAATCAATAATAATTTTAAGGCCAAGATTTCAAAACCGCGCAGAATATTAAAACTAGGCATATTTTAGATTTATTAATTGAACTTAAATACATATTATGATATACGAATTCATAGACTTACCTCCACGTGGTGCAACCTGGGCAACGTATACTCATACGGCAAAAAAAGTCTATTAACCGGCAGTTGACTCCTGACTTCAGACTACCATCACCTCACTGTATCCCATATTCGACTACTTCTACAGTTTGTGTTTGTCTCTTTTACATCTTTGAAATACTCTCCTGTTCCCCCTCTCCTCTCGACTTTTTCACTTTGATGTTCCTCCTCCTCTCTGTGAAGCCTAAAGTCAACTAAAGGGCTAATGATGACCATCAAGACGCCTGCCATTTGATATAAATAAATAAATATACGAATTCATTATAATTCATTCTGATGTGTGTGAAATAAAAATTTACTTATTATTAAAATTTGAGATAAATGAACTTAAATAATACAGTGCAGTCTTTTTTCGTTATCGCTTTCGATGTCCATTTTTTATGCACTTTCAAATCAACTTATTATTAAGTCAATGCCGTTTGTTCGAAGGTCATAGCAAGTCTATTCTTAAATCATATTTAGAACATTTTGTACATCATTGAATTATTTGGCAATATGTTAAGCCTATGACATTAATTTAAATATAACGTCTGTTGCGGGATGATTGCCGATGTGAAACCCAAATAAGACTAATTCGTAATAAAATTTATATATTAAAATGCATTAGCTTTTAGGATTAGAGCTGTAATTTCATTCAATCAAAAACTGCACAATTTAACCTAGCCAAGATAATACTGTTCAGCAACAAGTAGGCGTATGGAACTATCACTGAGTTAATCCAATAACTTTACTTTGTTCATAGATCCGGGAAAGTTGGATTGAAAAGCCTTTTTCATCATGGAACGAAACATACTATGTTCGGTCATAAAAGTGTATATTGTTAATCGCAAGATGAGATTATTCGAACAGTTTTCCGCTCTAAAATATCAATGACCATATTCACATGCTTGATGACCATGAAATTGTGATGGTTAAGTGATTACACTCTAATATTGTTATTAACAGTTAAAACGTATTCCTACTTCTTCAACAAAACGGGTGTGCAAAATTCTATCCCAATGTTAATTATATTAATAATTAAGCACCTGATATAATGTTCAATGAAGTTAACCTTAAGTGAAAATTCGAATACCTATATCTAACAGTTAGTTTTTAATATTTTCGCGCTTTAACTTTATAGAAGCTAAACAATCGATGAAATCATATCAATGTTGTTAATAAATGCTTCAGGTGATAAAAATCGTCCAAGTTTATATTTTAACATAAATTCTATCTGAAAATGGCTAATTTAATCATTTAAAATGTCATTTACATTATTTGGAAGTTTATTTAAATGTTCCAAAATAATTTACGCTGACCTAACAGATTGTTGGCGTCACTGGTGAAAGTTTCATCTCGTTCTACCCAGGATTTTAAATCATGGCACAAAGTCAATCTGTAAATGAAGAGAGCAACGGGGAACAAATTCTAAATGAAAATACAAATGGAATTGAAAATGGCTGTTCATTAAGCCATGAAAATCATGATGATCAAAGAACTGAAAATAACTTTTCCGGAAGTCCGCGCCCGAATAGGAAAATATTTGTTGGAGCATTAACACCAGAAACGACTGAACGTATGCTAATTTTAATAGAACTTTTCTTATTTTCTAGAAAACTTAACTGACTACTTTTCTAAATTTGGGGAACTTGTCTCCTGTGCTATCAAGGTGTTTCGGGAAACTGGGCATTCACGTGGATTTGGTTTTGTAATTTTTAAGAACGAGGAGTCTGTTAAAAAGGTACAAAAGGAGCAGTTATATTTTACACCTACTAGGTCCTGAGTATTCCTGAACACATTATTAATGGCAAGAAAATTGATCCCAAGCCAGCCAAATGTCCCAAAGATACCCAAAGGAAAGTATTTGTTGGTGGTCTTGATCCAGGTGTTACCCCAAAGGAAATTGAAGAGCATTTTAGTAAATTTGGCAAAGTTGAAGCTGTCGAGACCCCCTATGATAGCGCACGAATGCGTCGTAGGAGTTATGTTTTTGTCATATTTTCATCTGAATATGAAGCCAAAAGAGCTGCATCAGTTGAGCGACAAGAGATAAATGGAAGGACTGTAGGTGAAAACATAATCAAATTTGTTACTCCTTTTGGGGATTGTTTTACTTCCATGTTTTGTGTTCTTTTAGTGTGATGTTAGAGTTGCGGTCCCACGAGAGGTTTCGATGAGGCAAAGAGGTGAATATTCTATTCACCTGAAATTTATTGTGTTATTCGCTGTTTACACTGCCATGTTTTTTTCTATATGTGCGCTGTAGGGTTAGCTCAAGGCCCAGTTCAATTTACATTTGCGGATCTTCAAAATGCAATGCTCAACCTCTTCCTCTACAATAGTCTAAACCAACAACCGGCTTTACAAAATCACTTTGCATGGTCACAGGCTACAGCTCCTGCCAATGTGGCACAGGCCTCAAATCGAAGTCCTTTCAGAGCGAGTTATGATCACCAACAACAGCAAGCATCTGCTGATAAGCTCTTCAGTCAAGCTCCAGCGGCTTTGAGTCGTAATGACGCCCCGTGGTATGATTCATCTTCTGTTGTTCGTCAACCAGCTCCTGCTCAATCCGCCTCTGTGGGTTCCTCTGTTATGCCAAGAAGTCAGCCTGTCACCGCGTCGACTCATCCCTATCTGACCTTCCCCTTTCCCTACCACTCGGCTGCCACTTTAGCTCCCGCTCCTCCCCAGCATTTTTATTATCAAACTACCCCGGGATATTACTACCAACCCGCTCCCACCGCTCCCATTACCCCTCCTGATCAAGTTCAAAACTCCAATGGGGCCCCTACTAACGGGGCGCCCCAACCCGCTAGTGCCATGAATGATTTCATGGCGACCTTAGTAACAGCCAATCAGATGGGAACCCCCTTTATTGCTTCTCAAGCTGGCTATCCGGCTGTTTCAAATGGCGTCACCGATATGGGTAAGGTGATGGATTTTTGATTTTTGTCCTTCCCTGAGGTCTGTTAATATGATGTATTTTTGTTTTCAGGTTACTTGTATCGACAGCAGAGTCACAATCAACACCAACAGCATACCCTCAATCCCGGAGCTTATTACCAACCTGCAGAGGGAGTCTTTAATGATCGATCTAGCCACTTCTACAATATGCCTCAAGCTTCATCGAATAACAACACGGGTTGTAGTCCATCTCCTTTGAAACCCCGGGGTCCCAAATCTCATCTTAATGGGATTAGGGGGTCTTCTCAAAATGGCCACTCTGCTTCGACTTTAAGGGAGGCTGAAAATGGTGTTGATTCAACAACCACGACGAATGGAGTAAACTCCACTCCTCCTCAGTCTCTTGAGGCACAGATGGCCACTCTGACTGTGTCAGAAATCTAGGAATCTTTTAATTTCTGGTTTCTCCTTTTTTTCAAATTTATTCTTCTGCTTCTCCCCACTTATCCCCTTAACCTAACTAACTTGAAATAAATGACTGCGTAGTGGAATGATCGATTGATTGAGAACATGTTCGAGTGCTGTCTAACTGCCGTTCTCTATGTACAGTTGACCAAAGAAAGTGTCGATGGGATTTCTAGTTGTCATCTTATCTTCTCTTGTCATCAAACCTGCATCAGATTTCGGTTGAGTCGACGTATCAAACCTTGGGTTTCCATCCCGTCCAAAAGTCACCTTTCCTGCCCTATTGTTTATTCAGAATGATTGAACGGTCTGTCTGAGTAGATCTAATTGAGTGATGACTATAGGTGTAAAGAACATGTCTTCCCTTTCGGCGTCTGTCCTCCCCTTCTCTTCAGCCCCCCCCCCCCTTCTACCCCCTCCTCTTTAGGCGCTAAAATGGAAAATAAAATGTATAAAAAGGCTTCCCCTTTCTTCCTGATAGTCGGTAATTGGACCGGGATTGACGTCGAATGAACTCCAACACACTGATTCTAAAGTGCTAGTTTTATGACACGTCATCGGAAGTCGGATTTTTGTGTGTCACCCAGTTTCAACATGAATTGCATAGATACTTGGAAGTCGGCATCTCTATAGCTCTTTCAAATAGTCATGATATTTTATGCGTTCAAACACTCAAGGTCGTTCAAGCTGCCTTTGGCTGAAGGAGCTGTGTTTGCAACTGGCTTTTTCGCCTTTGATAAAATTCAACTAACCCTGTACCTGTCTGTATACATGTCTACTAACCCAGTAGCGGGATAAGTTGATGCTTTAATTAGAGCCATAGTGCAGTCCGAGTTGTAGGCCACAACAGGGAGCTTTTATTATCACTACTGCCCAAATATAGAGTTTTGGACACACGAGGCAGTGCAGCATACGTACGCATCGCCAAAGCAATGCGTGTGCGGTACGTTACCCAAGCGAACGCCAACTGCAGTGCTATTGGATAGGCGCATCGATCGATGAGTTGACGTGTGCACGTACGCACCACGCACGCAAAGGCGAGATTTATAGCTTACTGCGCTCGTTCTTTTCTGCAGCAGCAGATGTACGATGTAGCTCTGCTATCTTTCGCCTTAAAATACAGCTCCCTCGCCCTTTTGCCAACATGATTCGAACCCCCTCCTCCCCCCCCCTGCCCAATTAAGAAGACAAGAGTCCTGTCTGTTTCCTGCTGCAATCAGAAACGCTTAATCTATAGGAATACAATTTAGGTCTAGGCAAACACACTTAATAAGGTTCATTAAACTGTTAAGCTGTTAGTCTTACACTATTCTCTCCACTATTTTATTTTGTGTGTGTGTGTATGTGCGCGCGCGCTAGCGCACACGCGTTAAGATGTGTTCATACGTGCGTGCGTGTGTGTGAAAGTCAAGTGCAATGTAAGGTTTTGGCTCGTGAGCCAAGAAGAGTAAGAGCGCTATTCTCTCTTGCTCTCTACGTCATTAAAAAAATAGGTTTTGGTTAATTATCAACTAAGAAGCTAACATACACAACCTCGCGTGCGCTCTAACTAGGCTGTTCCTACCGGTCTACGCCCAATCAAATGTTGAATATGTATTTAAAATCAGTTCATCAATATTAAACCAATTTTAGTAATTGGCACAGCAAATTCATGTCTATTTACCATAACCTATTATAAGAAGTAATAGCCCCTCAATTCATTCACCCATAACTGGGTGAAAGAGAGGCAATAGAAGAAACTGTACTTCTCTTGGTGCTGTTATCCATATCTCTAATAGGATGCACATCAAAGTAAATGCAATTCGAAGTTTTTGACAAACCAGACGATAGCTGACTGATGTTGTTTCGAGCCCTACTCAAACTTACGAATATTATATTTCTCCTGTTCTAAAGGTGAGACACGAGAAATGTGATATCCGATAATTTATCAGGGGATCACTAGGTGCCTAAAAGGTGGATTTGAAGGGGGTTGAAGATGGGTCAGAATACGGATTTAAATTATCTTAGTAATTTGATGTTTCCACTTGTTTTGTTATTGAAGTGAAACTATCCATATATTAACTCTGCTCAACGCAGGTGAATAACTTTAAAGAGAGTAGAGATATGGAACTTTCCTTTGTTTGCTACTCAGTTTAAATCGTTTTTTTCGGGAATTCGTCAGAAGTAGCATTTTATAGATTATACTATGTCTAGTCATGTTAGGACTGTGGGTGGCATTATGACAAATGCGGTATTTAGCAATGACCTCTTGACATCTACGTAGATTCCAGTAGATGGCATTTGTAGTCGTTAGAGTTCATTCCCTCTTGTATATTGAAGTCTTCCCTTTCCTATAATAACATCTTTTTACGAGCACTGTCTATTGTATTGAGATACTGATGGAGAATTTCTCTCCGTGCAACATTTAATCAGGCGGTTGGTTCCTTCTCAAGTACAAAAAAGACAATGGGCCAATATGTCATTTCGATTATTCCATGCGAATTTGTAGAGCGTACAAAAATTCTTGGGTGGTCAGTGTAATTTATTGCATTTGTGATTCCTGAAAGCCGGGAAGTTGTCGCCACAATAAGCAGAAAAATGTTGTCGTTTGAAATATATTCAACTGAAAATGCCACTTTCAGGTAATCAAATAATGATGGTTGATTACCCACTACCCAAACCAAGTGGTGATACTTTCCTAAAAAGGGGCATGGTTTTGAAAGCACAAACTCCAAGATATTTATTTATTTATATCAAATGGCAGGCTTTATGATAGTTATCATGGGTGTGCACTCAAGGCAACGTATACTCATACGGCAAAAAAGTCTATAAACTGGCAGTTGACTTCTGACTTCAAACTGCCATGACCCCACTGTATTTCATATTCGACTACTTTCACAGTACTCACCTCATCTTTTTTCTACCTTCTTTGAAACACTCTTCTGCCCCCCCCCCCCCCCCCCCCCCCCTCTNCCCCCCCCCCCCCCCCTCCTCTCGACTTTCTTTCACTTTGATGTTCCTTCCCCTCTGTGAAGCCTGAAGTCAACTAAAGGGCTAATGGTAACCATCAAAATGCCTGCCATTTGATATAAATAAATAAATAAATGATAGTTATCATTAGCTCTTTAGTTGACTTCGGTCTTCACAGAGGGGATGAACATCAAAGCCACAGATAGGCGAGAGGAGAAACAGGAGAGTAATCCACAGATGTAAAAGAGACAGACAGACAGACAGACAGACACAAAGGTTGAGAAAAAGGTAAGTTAAGGTGAGTACAATGGAAGTGGTGGAATATGACGTACAAACAGAAGGTATATTCCATAAATCTTCTTCCTACTGTGTATACTTTAAACGCGTCGATTAGTGCTGCAGTTTTTGGTGTTGGCAGATGAATACACTAATAGTATGTTACTACACACACGAAATGCTAATTTGAGAAAAAAATTAACATGCACCTATTCCTGTACTTCTCAGTGGGGTATTTCCACTGACTCTTGCCAACTCAAAACAACGAAAACAGATTTTGTGTAACTGAATGTGCTTTCACAGTTGTGGTCTAGTGATGTATAATATGCAATGCGTACAAGCATTTAGCGATTATTGAGATAAACGAATTGCTGATATTAATATATGACTTTTATTCAGGATTGATTGGAATTCAGGAGTTCAGAAAGAGTGAAACAAGTCCATTATCGATTCTACTTCATCGACAGGTCACTCACAAGCCATAGCAATGGCTGGTTACCACTTGACAACTAAACGGAGTCAGTGGCGGTATAGTCTACTATTGTGAATGAACAAAATGGGTGGTGATATTTGCGACAAACAAAATGAAAGTACTTTTCCCTAAGATAACTAAGGCAATTGATAAAGAACCGTCAGGATGAAGGATGAGTCATTCGCACGGAAATGTGAAGAAGGCATACAAGGCTAGATAAACAGACCGCGATGTGAAACAAAAACACTGCAAAAGTCCTCTTGAAAGTTTAAATCATTTTTATCTAATTTATAACCCTCTGATATACAACAAATGGAATACACTAATCTTAGTTTTTTTCATGTGTTCATGATCAGAAATTGGCCTGAGAGCACACGAACTTGCGAGGATTGCAACTTTGAACACACTAAAACACATCAAAATTCCCACAAAATTAATATCCTCGAATAAACAAAATTGTGCTCCAGTTTCAGGTTAAACCTATGTACTAAAGCCTGACATACACCCTTACACCTACTTCTAAGAAAGCAAACCTTTATTGTAATGAATTAGACTGAAATAATCGATGGTGAGTCAATAAGTTATTAGTCAATTACCATAACTTTGAATGGAACAAAGATCAACAAGTCTTTAAAAGTTCAAACATGTCTTTTTAGTTTTCTTAATATCTCACCTGTTCGATCATTCTATGTATGATCTGGTTCAAGATAGATTGCTTCTCAAAATAGCAGGCAATTTCAACAACATTCAAATGGCAAAATTTGAGATCATAGCTAGCGCAACTAAACCAAATTTGAAACCTGTTCGTGTCATAGAGGCCTTGCAACAGGTTTATAGGGACTCTGTGCCATGTAAATCAGTAATTTATGATTGGATGATTGAACGCTTTAAGGTGGGAAGAGTGCAATTGGATGACGACCCACAAGGATGGAGATCCACTGCAGCGCGGGGACAAGATAGATGAGTTGCCTTTGAGGAAGGTGCCAATGAAGTAGGAATTGCGCACGGAAAAGCATCCTCTATTCTCACTGAAAGCCTATACTTGAGCAAGCTCATGGCACGGTGGGTTTCTTAAGCGTTGAAGAACCAACAGCAGTTCCAAAGGGCTGAACTTTCTTTGCCAAATTTGGCAAAGATGGAAACAAATGAGGAGGTGAAACGTGGATCTACAATTTGATCCAGAAAACAAAATTCAATCAAAAGAATGGCATGCAAGGGGAAAATCTGGGTCTGTCACGTTCGAAGCTGACAGGTTCGTTAGGAATGTCATGGCCACTATTTTTGCAATTCAAAAGGAGTGATACTAGTAGACTTCCTAGGAGGAGAGAAAATGGTCATCTCAAGTCATTAGGAGGGCATTTTGAAAAAGCTGAAGACATCGCTAATCAAAAAACGTCACGGGAAATTACACAGTCAAATTTAGCTTCAGCATGACAATGCCTCCGCACATTGTTGCCTGTTGCGTGGATTTCGATAAGAGACTCTTCCGCATCCTCCTAATTGTCCAAACCCAGCTCTCCCAGACATTTTTGTTGCCTAAAAATGAAAGAACACCTTAAGTGCAGCCGATTTAAGTCTTCAGATGAGGCGAAAAAGCATGTAATTCTATGGTGCCAGAGACGGCCCCAAAATTCTACCATGAGGAAATCTACTCGGGTATGCAAACAACAATAAAGTCAATGTAGAAAAATGAATGTAATCATCTGTTAAATAAATAATTTATGGAGTTTGTCGGAGAACTGTTGACTCAACCTTGTATCAGTCGTGGATCATGTTCATGAACTCACAAAGAAAATCAAAATTAAATTACACCCTTCATCGAGAAAGCGGAAAACTCAATCCTTCCAGAATTAATACAAGGTTGTGGAAGTTCTGACCTAAAGACCCTCTCCAGCTATATACATGATTGGACTTGTTAGATAGTACCTTTGTAGAAGCATATAGTTCTACTTTTCAAGGTCAATAATAAATTTCTCCTTAACACCTTATTTACCCCTAAAAGCTCTGATGCTTTTACCCACCTTCATATTGGCACTTCAGATAAACCCGAACCTGCAGAAGGAACAAAGTTATGACCATTTGAGTTTTTCCACCTTAAAATCTCTCGAGGAGATCAAAGTGGTAAGATACTTTTTAATTGGTGTGTGCCGCCGCCTCAGGACTTCTTTTTTAATCAAATTAATTTAAACAAATAAGCTTAAATTGACGCTTTTGAAGGTAGCTTAACGTTAGAAGATAATCTGGTTATAAATCAATTTCGATTTAATCCTCCGCATTTTAGAACCCATTGTCCTCTCTAAAGCCCATTAAAAGTGTAATTTCGTAAATTATGCCGTGGAAAAATGTATTTTTTACCAGTAATGGCGTTAATTAAAACTTCCTATTCACTTTGCCCTTATTCACAGTTTTGCAAACAGGATATGAAATGTTCAACTTAACTATTTGTTTGATTTCTTACAATGCTCGATTTACAGAGCTACATGGTAATTGATTATTGGTTCTCTCTAAGCTAGCGCCCGAATGTACAATCTCGACGCGGATACAATCATTGGCTAAACAGTGGACCAATGGCCTTTAGCTTACTAAATCAAAGTAAACAAATTATTTTTGTATACGAAACCGTTATTTTTTACTACAGGTTTGAGAAGTAGGTATTTACTGGACGCTCAAATGTGAACTAGCTAGATGTTCTGTAGTTCCAAAGACGAGAGTAGTGTTTATTTCTCCAAATAGATGATTTGGAAATGGATTTTGAGGTGCCAAATTAAGAAAAATTGTCGCCCTTGTTAACAAATCTCTACAATATTTCTCATCCACTTTGCACTTGAGTTGATTTTCAGGTAAAAGGTCTCCGAATCTCAAGTTATCAAGATGATAAGAACAAAGCCTTTGTTCGATATCCTTGCTTCAGGTCTGAAATCCACCAATTTATCTTCATTGGGATCTCTGTACCTCTGGGTTAAGTCATCTTACTACTCTCTATTGATTGAATTAGAAGGCTGCATTGGCTAATTCCCCTCCTCCCCCCCCCCCCC